CGTTAACGCCATTCAACCGGCCGGTTGGGTTAATGGGCCNCAAACGGTCGGTAACCGGCATGTTTATGCCATAGGGATGTGCGGGACAGGGGTACGATCATTCTGCTGTAGCCACACAATTTTCTGGAACCCTATATTATGGATCCATTTGGACGATAATTATCATCAATTATACTGTTATTCAGTTCACAGATTGCTTTTCGGAATTGTGAAGCCCCATCCGCAATAGGATACCTTTAACACCAGGTAAAGGGGAAATGCTGGTGGAATTGTATACCCCACCGCAGTACTCACACTCCCTGAAGTAGACATCCCCAGGTATCCCATAATAGAGTTTAATGACTTGGTCAGAGGCCAGATTTTTAAAATGGATGTCTTTTATGTGCTAGACTTGATAGGCGTGTTGCCTTGAGGCATGGGAACCTTCCCATGCATCTATCCGCTTTGGGGCAAGGTGGGTGCAGTATTATTATCAAAGTGCTAAATGTTCCAATCCAGGGATGGTCCGGGGTTTAGTTTCCATCTCTTGGTGATCCACACAAAGGCATTGATCAATTTGAAGGGGCTCAATTGGCGCACTACTGGAATTCCAGTAGTACACCACTTACAATGCTTACGTTCACCACTATACCACTACAGCTAAAACATAGTCCTGACTGGATGCGAAATCATCTTGCCTGATTCTGGTCCTCAGGCATGGATGTCATATACGATGACTCCAATTTCAAGCTGTTACTCAGCCGCCAGCGCACCAGTTACCGTAATGCTCATGAAGCCTGCAAGTGGTTTGGTGGTGTACTCGCCAGCCCAAGCAGCCGTACAAAGCAGGATCGGTTAACAAAGGTAAGCCTTCCTCCCAGCTCCTACAGAGCTTGTGTCATGCTGATCAACTCATGAGTTAATCAATCATGAATTAAAGATGGTTAAATCAAGTCTTTCAGCCATGGAGTATCACTTATATGAGAATGGCCCATATACCCGCTGGTAGTAACCTTCCTCTTATGACTTGCTTATAGAGGAGCAGGAACACCATGTAAACCTCTGCATGCTGCTTCCATGCTACTTCTATGTAAAACAAATCTCTAGTATTAATATTGTATTTGGCGTTGCAGGCATTGGCAGAGGCGCCATCTTCTACCATAACCAGTGACTTCCTATGGATTGGTGGTTATCAGGCCCTAGCGAGTGTGGGCAATGCGCAGGCATGGATATGGTCAAGTAATGACAGATATGGGTAAGGTATATTACGTTACCTGGTTTGCTGCTGATTAGGTGTAGTCTTGATACTAAAAATAGGATTCCTCATCTATGGAATAGTAGGATGTCAGCTTCAATCCTCGTGGCTTGGAAAATTGTGGAGGCCCTGTTCAGGCTGCTGCACAGTCCAGTTTTTCTTAAGGGGATAAAATATGCTGGATAGTCTAGCCTCTGACCCTTCCTCATCATCTATCCTGTACACCTAGAGTCATAGAACCCTAAATATAATTGCAGGTCTATAAGAGTGGAGAAGCCTGTATGAGAAACGAAAGAGTGTCTGTAAACTATCTGTTTTCAGGCCTAGACCATAGGTTTGCCAGGTCAATTACTAAGGAATTGGAATCGCTATCTTTAAAATCTACCATGGCAAAATGGATATGGATTACAAATAGACAGGCTGACAGATGGATGTACATAGACTTTGGTTACTAGTTACCGAACAGGTGTAGTGAGATGTTGATATCATCCTTTAGTGTGTCTTTATTACTGTAGCAGCCGGTACACAGTACGGCACATATGCGCAGAGCGCGACCACCAGCATCTCGAGAGGCCTTTTCAGCGGCCAGCTGCTACAATTACCCATTATCGCCAAACTGCTTACTACACATCTGTACAGATGACAGGTTGATAAGTGGACATAGGTAATCCTGATAAGGGAGAGGCCATTTTTGTTGAGGTGCTTCATGTTATAAGTCATGCAAGTAGGTTGCTTGTGCCAAATGCCTTTATGGCCGACTCCAATGCTACCTACCATCCATACACAGGTTCACTGATTGGATCAGGGATGGGCGCTTCCAAGGAACTTCTACTTGTCTTTCATTTCGCCGCCTGAGTGACCTACCCAATCGCTGGTCTACCAAGGCACAGTGCCGAGAGACACTGAGTTTTGTGTGCCAGGTCATAAACCTTGAGGATGGTACGTTGTCTTAGTAGTACCATTACTACAAATGTTACTTGCTCCTTTTGGTCGGGTGCAATGCTCTATGTTGTGTAATTTTCAGGCATGCATCTGAAAATTGGACGAGTATCTATGTTGTATTCTGGGCATATAATGGGATCTGCATCTGCCGATTGATACTTTCTGTAATTACAGAAAATGATAATAGTTGTAGTCGTACAATAACAATCTTCAGCCCATCTATTATCATTCTTTACTATGATACAAATAAATATATGTTCTATCTATGCATACCATAGGTTTGCCTGATGAACGTTCATGGTTAACCATGAATTTAAATACTAATACTAAGCGGCCCAGAAGCCTCCCACTCTGTAACATTACACACAAATACTACTAATTGTACACTAGGTTAGGCACTACTGATAGAGCACGCACCCAATGCCTCCATAGGTTCCGGGATCCGGTCGGAAATTCTTCCAATGGTGGAAGAAAGAAGTGTCCCTAGTTAATGGACTGTGGTGACCTGGGATAAAGTTAACCTGCAAGCTGACCAGGAATGGAGTTAAGCCGCTGTCAATCCGGCAGATTCTATTGGATGCCGGTGGTGGGTACAGAACCTGAGCGATCCACTGAGAAATTGGCTAGGGTGACTAGATGAGGGTATACGGTACGTACCCCGAAATACTGGGGAAGGCAGGGTCTGCCGGGCACTGGCCACCGGTTGAATATATGACTTCCCTGTCCCACACATCATACTACCTATATCTTTTAAGGCACTATCATCCGCACTACATGGTAGGGCATATATTGTTATATAACAATTCTGCAGACAAGACCCTATATAACAAGGTAATCTTCCTGTTTATGTTTGTGCAGAGTGCCCTCGTGGCAAAGCAGGGGAGCCACCGTATTGTGAGCCTTGCACTGGGGAATATTTTTCTGGCCAGGCAGGGCAGGCCAAATGCTTGAAGTGAGTGGCTTTATTGATGTGCAAGATTCATCTGTAAACGACACATACGTGACATACATGACGTTTAAGAGTTCAAAATTGTGATGCAAGGGCTCTAAGTTCACGATAATGTACAAGGGTTCTGAGGTCACGATAATGTATAAGGGTTCTGAGGTCACGATAATGTATAAGGGTTCTGAGGTCACGATAAGGTATAAGGGTTCTGAGGTCTGGATTCGGAGTTCAGGGTCCTGGGAGTTCAAGACTCAAGGGCCAATTGGGAAAACCAGAGGTTAATGTTATAGGTGTAAGGGTTCACCCTTGGGACCTAAGATTATTCAAGGCCTTGAATAATTAAACCTAGGTTTAAGCGATTGCTTGCATTCATTTGTAGGTGTCCCTTCGAGGTTGCCGACCTGGACCACAATGGCTACAATGATGATTGCTTATGCCCCCCAGGAAGTGCAGGTAATGTAATGCAAACTCAACTGCATAACAAATGATGTCCAAATATAAAAATTTTCAGCTAAAGGGCCTTGCAGTGGCAATGACTTGATGTGCATGTTCCAGTCCTGAGCCATCAGCAGACACCCAAATATCTGCTAAATTGGTATATTTTACCATGGCTGATGCCTTGACAGGTAACTACACAGCTGGGTGCACGCCTTGCCTCGACATTACATATGCACCAACAGCTGGCATGAGGGCATGCAGCATATGTGTTAATGGCACAGCAGTACGGAGGCTTGGTGCGACACCTTCTGAGGGTAATACAGATTGTCAACCTCCAACTACCAACATTACGCGGCGCCTTCAGCTAGGTGTAACTGGGAACATGAAGGACGCTTTGGATGTGCCTACACCAAGGCACTTATCCTCCATAACTATGTTTCAACAAGACATCTTATCATCCCCCCAGCCACCTTCATCCTCACAAATAAGCCAGCCCAACAACTGCTCAGCTTTATGGGAGCGGTTGGAGCTCTTAAAGGCCAACCCAAACATCAGTGCATGTGGTAATATTATTGCTACAAATAGGCGAATATCCAACATTGCCAACGCTACCATTACCAACTGTGCATCAAATACTACAGTCAAGGCTTGCCTCCAGGTGAGGAAGACAACCATACCTTGGTGTAACACAGCAAAGGTGTAACCCGGGATGTTCAGATGGGCCTTGCGTCGTTACACTTGGGCAATTGCCCAATGCTTGCAAGCATTCCGATGATTGCCATTGGGATTGATGTATGGTGTCAGTGAGTGAACATTTAGAAATTTAGCAAATCCCAAATCACTTAATCCACACCACTTACAAGGGACTGTATATGCCTTTGCAGGAGCTGGGCCCTATTGTTGACGCCATGATTGCATCACGCTGCTGTGACTTACTGGCACGGGTGGTGGAGGTATTCAGGCCACCACGTGCTTTATGTATTATGCGAAATTTCGCACCAATTAGGTAAAGTTGCATCTCATGGTCGGATGACCAAACCTAAGTGTCCAAGGGGAGCCAAGTATGTATGGGGAGCATACACACATAATACATTCATATACATATACACATACACACATACACACATACACGTACACATATACATATACACATATACACATACACATATACACATATACACATATACACATATACACATATACACATATACACATATACACATATACACATATACACATATACACATACACATACACATATACACATATACACATATACACATATACACATACACATACACATATACACATATACACACATACACATATACACATATACACATATACACATATACACATATACACATATACACATATACACATATACACATATACACATATACACATATACACATACACATACACATACACATACACATACACATACACATACACATACACATACACATACACATACACATACACATACACATACACATAGTTGAGGCGCCATTGATCCGCTAGATTTGGTTGGATGCTGGTGGTGAGTTGCTGAACCCAATGAATGCATTCTGAAGTCGGATGGGGTGAACGAATTAGGGTGCTCCTCTAGCAGGGGAGAGCAGGGAACTGCCTCCAAGGGAAAGGGGGCCGCTGGTGAAGCTATACCACCCTGTAACACCATACATACACATGTCTACCAGCTGAGTACAAAATAAAGACCTCCATCACAGATGGGGACTGATGAAGTGTCGTAATAATTAAGAAACTCACAATCCTACGGGACATCAAAAATACATATTCCTTCTTCGCTCGAAGGGGGAGGAATGTAAGAAGGGTTCAGCTCCCTTGGCATCTCTCTGAGTACTCTTTGCTTCCTGTTTCATACCTGTATCTATATCTATTTATCTATCTCTTTATATATATACATGTATATTGACACTACTGTCTTATACAGTTTAAGGTCCTGGGTTCGATTCCTGGGGAGACCCCCGACATCGTCGGGAGCGTGAGATTCTGGCTAGCTGCTGAGATGTGGAGTTGAGGTCAAGTTGATGGATCGAGCTTCGCACGCTGGATGGGTGGCGATTGCTGAACTCTCTGTCCGGATGTTCGGGTGAATGGATGAGGAGATATCCTACAAGGCAGGATCAACCGCCTTGGACTTCCAGTTCGTATGGTGTAGTACAGTGTGGTAATGGTGGATGGTGCTGTATGGTGCGACAAATCGTAGAATTGACAATGTGTTCAAATGGTGCAGAAGGCTCCCACTCTGTAACAATCCAATTCAATATATCTATAAATATGTGTAATATAACGAAAATATAATATATATAATATTATTATTCTATACTATACATATATTATATTATATTATATTATATTATATTATATTATATTATATTATATTATATTATATTATATTATATTATATTATATTATATGTAATATATTATGTAATGTAATATAATAAATATATATGTGCTTACTGTTAAATCTGTACCAACCTTCCATTAGGTCTTCCTTTCTATGTTTCCCTGTGTATTAGCTAGGATGTGTATTAGTTATCTACCACGTCTTCAGAATCGAGGATTGGAACAGTATATACAAACTAGACCTTTGCTGCAATAATAACCTCTGCTGTCAACGATTATCCATTTTTTGTACCCCCACCCTGACAGGCATGCTTTTGGATTTTATCAGGATGCTGCTCAATGTGATGGCCATATACGGCTCGTGAATGGCTGGCCAGATGGCAGCAGTGGCAGGCTAGTATAAAGCGGAAAAATGCCACATCTGCTAGGATTGATCAATCATGATGTGTTGAATGCTATCGATGACTGATACCAGATAGTTGAGCCAGCATTAGGCCCTGTAGATTAGCTCATGGCCATTGCATCTATGGTGTGAAGCCTTGCCCTTGGTGCTGACAACACCAAGGTGGCCTTGCCTTAGATCTGGACAGACCTATTGTTGCATGTCGCCTCAGCTTCCTTGGTGCCGTGCTTCCATCACCACCACCACCCTTGCTGGGCATGGAGAAGAAGATATATCTTCCCCTATATATAGGGGAATAGAAGCTAATAATTTGTCTTATTTGGTAATCCATGGATTAATGACCAGGAAGGCAAGGAAAGATTGCAACAAGGGTTCCTAAGCAATCATGGCATATTAAGCCAATAATTTGGTAACAGTATGGATTATACATGATACCATGATAGAAGCAAAAAATTAGCTACACATGCCCATTGCCACACTAATTAATGCTTTGCTTGTAGATGGATCAGATCCAATACATTATGACACAAATCCTACCATCTGAATGTTTTGCAGAGTTGAAATATTTCATGATGGCCAATTGGGCACTATCTGTGATGATGCCTGGGATGATGATGATGCATCCGTGGTTTGTCGCCAACTTGGGTTTGATGGTGGTTATGCTGAGTGGGGTGGTGCATTCGGCCCTGGACTGGATTGGCAACCCATCTGGATGAACAGGTTGGTACAGGTGATATGCATGATTGCCAGATGTTAGTATTGATGGATGCTCCTTTGTAGGCTTTACGCATATACCATATTGGGGTTGTATCTGAATCTGTCCATGTTCCCAACTCGCTCTGTTGAAATTGCAGGGTGGGATGCAAAGGTGATGAGTCAAGTATTACTGCTTGCGGCCGTTGGGGAGGGCCCGACAGCTGGGGTAACCATACCTGCTCTCACTGGGAAGATGCAGGGGTTACTTGCTTCAACTGCCCTGGATGCCCACAACAACACTCCCTGAGGCTAGCAGGCAACAAAACTAGAAGGGCGGCTTCAGGACAATCATGGATAGAGGGCAGGTGAGTCCCATATTGATGACAATGCATGAAGCAGTAGATCATCTTGTCCACCTTTTATGAATTCCTGCTATACCCATGCGTATCCATATTTGCTGAGTTTACGTCACCAATTGTTATGACAATATCTATAGCTGGTTTGACAATGGTAGAGTAATATTTGTATGTACCATTACAATTACGTTTTTACCTCAACCCAAATCATGCAGACTGGAGATCTGGCATAACCTGAATTGGGGAACTGTATGCTCTGATTGGTTCCATCGTATAAATGCTGAGGTGGCATGTCGACTGATGGGCTATCATACAGGAGAGCTGCTGCCACCAGAGCAGGCAGCAGCATATCTCGTTAATACAACATTAATTCAGGTAGGCATTCATAATGTCCTAAGTAATGCTGGAACGAGATATTCTAGTGGATCAATCAACTCAGGATAAGCACTAAATATTTTACATTATTAGCAATTCAGTATCTGCATTTTTGTGATATTTATTGTGGTAAACAAACCAAGCTACCCTGTTGGCCATTGTTGTATGAAACTATGTGACGAAGAACTCAATAATCAAATACACAAAAGCTTAAACATGTCACTGCTGATTAAATGAACAACTAAACTCTTGTTCCCTTATACCATTGCTTTAACAGGGGTCAGCCATCCCGCCTATCCAGCTTGACAATTTGGACTGTCTGGGTAATGAGACTTCATTAGCTGACTGCAGTCATAATTCCTGGGGCTTCCATGATTGTAACCACAAACAAGATGTGGCGCTAAGGTGCTGGCGGTACCAGCAAGGTTGAGTAATCACGAAAATATTGTTTGTACATATCTCGTATACGAGATATGTATTATAATACGTATTAGAGCTTAGGAAGGACTTACAGAGAGAGAAAGAGCTCTATGTTGTAAGTCTGCTTATTCGGCTATACTCTCGAGAGTATAGTCGAGCTCGACTAAAGCCTAATAAGGACAAAGATACACAGGGATACCATCCGAACCTGTAATCCCTGTCAATCATTATACTCCCTTTTTGCTGTGTGTACTGTGTGTATATACTAATAGTGGAACCCTCTTGCATTTCACAGGCAAGGTGCGACTGGTTGATGGTTGGCCTGACCAGCAGCAGCCTGGCATTCGGATAGCAGGCCGTCTTGAGGTGCTTCTCGGGGAGCAATTCGGTGGAGTATGTGCTACAGGATTTGATGCTTGGGATGCTACTGTTGCATGCAGACAACTTGGGTGAGTCTCAAGGGATGAATGAGGGAAAAAACGGCAGCTACCATTTTTGGGGACTATAGTCCCCACAGAACTGATATATCTCATACGCTACCTATGATTGTGTAAAGTTGAGGGGGTATATTTTCAACTAAAGCCATTAGCCTAGCAGTCTATATACTCCGATGTTCACATCGAAACATTTCAAGGCACTCTCTTCCTTCTCACCCAACTCTGTGGGATCATGATCTCATGAGATCATGATCTCATGATCACTAATCACTGACTCACCACCACCACCAGCATACAGAGGAATCCGCTGCTGGATCAACAGCAGCAACAGCTCCACCCCTGGGTGGCCCCCAGCTCCTGATGTCGCTGCCCCACAGTATGGCACACATCACTAATATTTCCATATCACATGTAAGATGGCCATCCCAGCATCTAAGGCCTTTCTGGTGGCCAGCTCCTACAGGGGTATTATGGTTACAGTACTGAACCTGAAGTTAATATCGGATGAACCATGCAGACTATCGGATATCGGCATAATTGTCCAAGTGTAGTGTAATCGGTAACAAGTTATATGACGCATGGATTTGCACTGCATGCCAACGTTTGGACGCGTCCGGCCAACGTACGGCCGCCCGCGGGCTCTTATTTCAGTGAACTTATGGAGCAAAACGTTTAAGTTGACATCTGACCCAGGCTCCCTCCCAAGTATAAATACTCATCACTTTGAAAATCACAATATTGACTTCTGTTATAGAGTCATAGAGTGTTCCTTTGGAGTCAAGCAATCGATTACAGGAGGCCCTTGAGAGATAAGCCTCTACTCGAGTTGTACACAGGGTACGACTACAACATGTAATCCACAAACGACAAGAGTTAAGCACATCCTCTCAATGTGACAAATGCTCACACAAGAAAGTTCTAATGCACAGGTAACAAGTACCTAAATATGCGCAAACCAAGAGCGTGTTAGCTCATTTTGTCAACCTAACGATTAGTGGAATGAACATAAGGCAACTACTTAACACCTTGCAGTAGCGACCAAACGCCAAAACTGAATACACGGATGTTACTAAAAGAAAGATGGTTAATGGACGTGACGCTAAAATGATGTGACACCTCAATGAAGGCCGATGTGAAACTCAAAATATTTGAGTTTCACAACCATTAATGATTGTCCTCCCCTTGTCATGATGGGCATGATGTTTAGCCAGTCAGTCAGTCACCCCAGTTAGGCAGTCACCCCAGTCAGCCAGTCAGTCAGTCAGTCAGTCAGTCAGTCATGTATCAGTCCAATTATCTTATTTTCTGGCTCTTGATTGGATTTCAAGGACAAACTAACCAGCTGGATTGCTTATTACATGTGCAGGTATGCTGAAGCCATACTAACTGCTGGCAACGAGACCCAATGGGCACCACCTCTTGGGCAGCCTGCAGCCATGTCTGAGGTCTACTGTCTTCCAGATGAGACACAACTGTACAATTGTGGTTCCGACTATTCCAGTAAAGGATTGACGTGCAATCAGCAGCAATTCGTGAACATCACCTGCTACAGTAAGCCGTTCACATGCCGTAATTCCAAATCACTGATCTCACTGATCTCACATCTAAGTTACCTACATGAAACCTGCAGATCCATCACCACCGCCTCCACCAAGTCCTTTTCCACCAAGGCCGCTTCCCCCAAGCCCCCTCCCACCAAGTAAGCCACCCCCAAGTCCACTGCCCCCAAGTCCACAACCCCCAAGCCCGTTGCCAGGAGCTCCATTACTACCAAGTCCTCCACCACCAAGTCCTCCACCACCAAGTCCTTCACCTCCAAGTCCACAACCACTTAGTCCTTCACCTCCAAGTCCACAACCACCGAGTCCTAAACCACCGAGCCCACAACCACCTTTACTACCCCAGCCGCCTAGCCCAAAACCTCCAAGCCCACCACCAGCAAGTCCACCACCACCCATACCACCTCAGCCACCTAATCCTTTTCCTCCGAAACCACCTAACCCAAACCCTCCGAGCCCACTTCCTCCACCCCCCCCTCCACCCCCTCCACCAGGTGAGTCAGACATAAACATTGGGTTTGTATTTCTGGATGTAAGGTTTGGTTTATCAACCAGGAGTTTTTTCTATTCCAATAATGTTGTGTGCTTTATATGTGCTGATTGTACGCTGTTGTTTATTCCCTACAGCACGTGGTTCAATGTAAGAATCAAAGTACAGGCTCCCAAAATTAATATTTTTGGTATCATTTACATCATACCCTATGGCATAAAACGGGGGGTTAACCTTCAGCGTAACCCAGGGGGTAGGGGTAGGGGTAAGTACGAACGGAGGTGGGTAACCTAACCCCGAGGGAGGGGTAACCCCTTACCGCGGGGTAACAAAGGGGCCGGGGTAATACACTACTGATAGGTATCAAACAGGGTAACCCATGTTTACAAATGTGCCTCGACTGAATTTTTCACCCGCGCCTGTCTACACACGCAAACATACATGTCCACCAATCATCAAAAGATCCAGGCACTTACCGCCGCTCCAGACCCAAGACCTAAAACTTGCGGACCAGCCAACGGGTGGCAATCTAAGGCCGGCCGGTAGCTTAAGTGCCCCGTCCCGACCTGCTAATTCCAGCTATGAGCACAACCTATGCAAAACTATCCATAGTATGCTCGTTTTCAGAGCAGGCTCTCCTAAGAGTGTTGAGGGTCTTGGGCAGGAGATCCAGATGTTTGACCCCGAACCCGGTCACACCCGGCGAAGTGTAAGGCGCCTTCCCGGAAAATTCTCGGGTGTCACTGGGTGTCTTGCAAAATGAGGTGCACCATAAGTGTGGGCCTGTGCTGCAGCTAGGCAGTCAACGGTCTTGTTGTGGTGGTCCGTGCATGCTAGCATGCCACCATTTTTGCCGCCATATGCACCAGTATTGTAATGGGGATTATAAATGTGCATTGTATGTATGGTCAATATGATTGACTGAATTGGTGATATTGGTCATCGTTTTTTTAGGATGTCCGTCTAATTAAAAGACCAGCCAAGAGTGTGCATAATATGAACTTAGCTGTGATTAAACTTGAATGTGCTTATTAGGAATATCAATGGAGGCAGAGCAGCATGCACATATGTGTACCCCGGCTGGTAATATGTCGGCCAACGTCGGCCAAGGTTAACCTCAGGACTGATTGTCTGATGTTTTCGCAGCCACTGGCAGAACTATTATATAAGAACGGATGGCAACCAAAGGCATCCATCTAGTGAATACCTGTAGTCGACTTGCGTGCGTGCTGCCAGCATTGGCGCCTTGTCCTGTACTCAGCTACAAGCTCTCGTTTTACAGCAGCCAAATAGGCCAAGAGGTAGGTACTTATTCCTTATTCCTTGTGCGCAAGGAATAAGGAATAAGTACATACCTCTTGGCCTATTTGGCTGTGTGTGCTGCCAGCATTAGAAAACTTATGGTTGTAATGGCGAACAATGCTTCCCGAGATACCACGATACTGTAGGTTGCTAACATTTACATATAAAAGTAAAAGTATCCTTAAGCGGAATTTACGATGTGGAAAGCAAATAAGGCGAGTAGCCTATAGGCCCATACATATGTCCATAGTCCAGGGCAACGGAGGGGGTTACCCTGGGCCCGTGTTACCCCTCCTGTTAGGTAGGAACTTACAAGGGGGTTACCAAAGGGCTACCGGGGGTTGAAGGTGGGTAACCCATGGATTACCAACCCGATCAGTGCCATAGGGATAATAAACAAGCTGTATGCGCTTCCTCAAAGCGGAAAAAAGGAGGGGGGGCCCCTGCATCCATACAGACCGGTAGCTAGGGTGGCACGTGACAATTGATGGGTAGTGTCAACGTGGTAGGAGGTGTGCTTGTTGCAGCAGTGCTGGTGTTGTGGGAGCTATGCTTACACCGGCAGAATCGCCAGCACCGCCTGCGGCCGCCACGTGAATCGCGTCCATCCTGGGTGCATGCCGCATGGAAAGTGGCAGACGCGTGCTGTACGGCAAGTTGGAATGCCCGTGGGGGCAAATGGTAACGCAAGCTGGTTGTTCGAGTTATCATACGCCGTAATCTCAGATATGGATTATGAGATACGCGGCACCTTTTGAGATTAAATTTAGCCCGAGAGGTGTTGATGTGACTTTGACCTTGGTCAATGGAAGCAGCCAAACTTGTTTGTGCTCATACGATTTTTGTTGGCTGCAGGCGAGATACCTTGCAATAGAGAGTGCCATATATTACCAATAACGCGTTTCAGCCGGGCGAGATATTATGTTTGGTCCGTTACACACACACACACGGACACACAGGCAATCCTACAGGGCGGGCCCCCCCCTGAGCGCTTCACGCTGGGGCCCCGGCCAAAATGTTAATTTGGGAGCCTGTACTTTGATTCTAGGCATATATGGGCATATGCATAATGTATATAGGGATAACATCTTACCTGCTTAGGCTACTTACCTGCTATGTAATGCGCTGCTAGTGCTGCAGCTGGTTGATATTATTGTGTGAATAGGGGGAAAATACACCTTCACCCATGGTCACTAGCCTG